GGGCCCTTGGAGCTCTGTCAGAGCTGGGAAGCCTGGCTTCCCCTCACCCTGCAACATTTGTATTTTCCCTGTTTCATTAAAGAAAATATTGCACTGGAAACAATGTTATTTTGAAAATTACTTTCTTGGTTCCTGGGCCACTAAAATTGAATTTCAAACAAAAGTGAGCTTGGAGGCCAGGTATCCCATTGGAGCTGTGCTTCTCCTGCCAGCGTGGGCTAGGACCCCAGGAAGGCCTGCTTGTCCTTCCAAGTTCCTGACCTGTGGCGTGCAGCTCAGCCCAGCCCTGTCCTCGGGGGGCACCGATGAAGTCAGTTTTGGGCAGCACTGGGGCACCACTGCCTGGAAGTGGAGAAGCCCTGGAAACCGCTGAGACTCAGGCACGAGAGCACATGCGGTCCTGCTTCTCTGATCAGTGACACAGGAACAGGAGCATCTCTGTGCAATCATGAATGTTCCAAACCAGCGAACTTTCCCCAGGGCCAAGACAGGAAGCTGGAAGCACCCAGGCTCTCCTTCCTGGGAGAGTCAGCCCGAGACACAAAACCTGCGAAAGCCCCGAGGAAGCTGTGGGTGCCAGGGTAAGAGAACGCAGTGGAGACCCAGAAACGAGGAGGAGACAGTGACACCCTGCAGCTGCACTGCCAGGGCTGCCAGCAGTGGAAGAAAGATCTGGAAGGCCACAACCCAGAACATCTGCATCTACAGATGAGAAGAATGAGGGTGACAGCATTTTCAAGATACTTCAAGATCGCCATTATTTCTGAGTCTGAGTTCATTCAAGGTTTTCACTTGCCAAAATGCTATCAACCATCTCACAGCCATTTTATAATTATAATTTAAGAGTATCGTTAGTAGTCCCCACGGGCCAGGTGTTGTGCTAGGTGTATTCCCCACCTGTTACCCGGCGAGCCAACAATTTTATACTCATTCTTCATGTACACCCCAATTCCTGTCATTTTGGTGTCCCGGGAGGTTTTACACACATTTTATAAAAGCGGACACTGGGTGACGTCCACACCAACTCAGGACGCAGTCAAAGGTGTGGGCCTGAACCTGCCTCCCCTGTGGAAGGTCTGGCCACCCCTCAGGCACACTGAGGAACTTAAAACTGGGCACAGCACAAGATCTGCAGCAAATAGGTACATAATCTCGGAAGCTTGGCACAAGGAACAGAAAGCTCAAGATTTCCTTTTAATTCTCTTTGAAACAAAAAGCGTATTGTACATGCAATAACACTTCTTTTTTTTTTTTTTTTTTTTTTTTTTGTCTTTTTTCCACGCAGCTCAGGTTGGCCTTGAACTTGCAAGGATCCTCCTGCCTCAGCCTTCTGAGTGCTAGGATTACAGGTATGTACCACCGCACCCAGCTATACTAATGCCATTATAATAAAAATTTAACCAAAAGCTGCCACTTTTCCATCTAGGAATACAGAAAAGTACATGTGACAGGGGAAGGAGATATTAGTCAAAGTTAGATAATTTTACCTAGGCCTAGAAAGGACCAGAAAAGCCACACTCTTGGATCTAGGAGTAAGTGGAGCAGGATAGGGATAAAACTGCCACTGGGCCACAGCCATCATTGTTGCCTCAGGGACAGGAGGGGAGAATCTTGCAACATCTGCGCTTACAGTGGCAGGGACCGTGAAGCAGAGAAGACAGGCAGAAGCCACAAACTACAAATTCATCAAAACCCATCGGCCATGCACTAGAAATGTAACGTGTACAGAACTCCAATGTCTGTAAGTCACACCACAAGAGAGTTAACTTAAAAGTCAGCTAAGGAAACTAAGCCAGACTCAGAAAGTTTGATATCATACATTTCTCCTATCTGAGAAGCCTGAAATACCAATAAACAGATGATAAAAAGAGATGTCAGGAAACTAGAAGACAGACTCCTCCATCTGGGGGAGGTACAAATAACTGGAATAAAAAGATAAGAAAAGGGGCTGGGGATGCAGCTCAGTCCAAAGGCCCTGGGTTCAACTCCCAGCTCTGCAGAACAGCAGAAAATCAAGATCTAAACAGCTTCTCATTGAGGTCTCTTGAGGCCACCTTTGCTGAGGAGCTGCTGGTGTGTAAGGAGCATTCCCCGAACAGTCTGGAACATAGCAAGGAACACTGAGGCCAGAGCCCACAAAGACTCCTAGAGCCCCATCACCACCTAGGGAACCGCCGTGGCACCAAGAAGACTCAGTGAAGTGTGCAGAGTGAGCAGAGTGAACAGAGACGAGGTTCAGACATTGGGAGCACCCAAGGACAAGGATGGAGCGAGCCTCCTGGAGACATGGGCAAGACTTGAGGGAAAACCCAGTGCTACTGAAGAGTGAAAAGAAAATGAGTTGAAGCAAAAGTCGGCATTGTTTTGTTATTCTCTGTGTTATCGCATTGCTTTACCCCTTTTGTCAGAAGGACTGAAGTAGAACAGAAAGGAAATGCTGTTCACAGATGCCTGGCCGACAGCAAGCGTGGCCCAGCCAGCCCTGGACTGGCTCTGTCCTGGGTCCTGAGGACCAGCTGCCCCACAGGTCTGCAGCCAGAGCCAAGGCTTCACTCCCTCTGGGGAACCAGGCGGGACCCTGCAGCTCTGCTCTGCTCTGCCCTCAAGGCCACAATTTGAAACCGAAGCCAAGTGTCTCTACTGAAGAGGAAACAGTTCCAAATGAAAGCTCAGAAGCAAAAATGAAGATGCGATTGAAGATGAAGCCTGAGGCTTAGAAACAGAAACAACAAAGAATTTTAAAGAAAAACCACTTCCGGGAGCTTTCCAAGGTGACGTAGATACTGATCCTAACGTTTCCAGCAGCAAGGACGCCCAGAGCAGGATGCTGTGCTCTCGAGACCTGGCACTGACAATCCCGGTTCCAGGCAGAAAAAGGTCCTAAGAGACCCTCGTCCTGGAACTGAGAGTTCCCAGAGACCCCGAGGACCGACCCCGGGCAGGGGAGAAGTACTGGTTACCAAGAGCCCCTTACATGAGTGTGTCACTGGCATCTGTGCCATCACAGCAGTTGAAACCCCATAATTCAAGGGACTTCCAGTGTCTTCTCAACAACCAAAGAATTAAACCTTCAAAGGACCTGTGTCGAGTCAGTGGCTGCCATCCCAAGGAGGACAGGGGGACACGGCCAGGTGTCCTGACACTGAGCTACAGAGCTGCTGCCCCGTTGCCCGGGCGCAGGGCTGCGGTAAGGAGCCCCTGAATGGAAGAGCGGCATGGAGGCACTTGGTGAACAAAGCCAGGCATCTAGGGACCTGCAGTGGTAATAAAAGCACTGTGCTCCTTTACTACAAGGAAGAGAGGAACCGCAGCACTGCAGTCTGGCAGTAGCACAAATGTAGAACAACACAGAGAGAAATCATTTGAGCAGGAGATACCACCGATGAAGAGGAAGACATGGGATTGAAGGAGAAATGTCAGCGTTTGGGACCACAGAGCCAGCAGAGCCAGCATAGCCAGCAGAATCCAGCGCTGAGGCTTCCAAACGCACTGGGTAGAGTTATAAAAGTGTCTAAAAGACTTTAAAGGAGGTAAAGTCAAATGTGCCACCTCCAGGTTCTCTGACCTGAGGACTCTGGCCACCTCCCATGGGACTTGCAGCAGAGGACTTGGGGGACACAGGAAAGGATGACCCCAAGGCCTCCTAGCATGGGTTATTGTAAAATCTCAAGATGCATGAGATGAGATTTCTCTTAAAATACAAAGCAAAGGCTGGCAGGACAAAGTGAGCCTCAGGCCTCTATGTGGGCAGTAAGTGGCCCATTTCCACTGAGAACAGAAGAAACGCTCACTGCTCTCCCATGGAGAGATGCATAGAGGGGGGTGCACAGCTGGCGGTGTTAATGAGCAGCTCTGAGGGCCTCAGGGCGGGCACAGAGCCAGGGATGGAGCCTGAGCGCACAAGAGGCCTTTACTGGAAATACCATCCCGTGTCTGACAGCTGGAGCTGTGTCCCAATTAACAGCTCTATCTGAGACACAGATGTCTCTGAGGAAAGTGTCCTGGGACATAAGGCTCGGTGTGACCCCTCCCTGTCACCCACCTCTGTGTCCCCGCTCCTCCCTGACACTACTGGTGTCTGAGGGGTGGGGAAGAGGAGCCTCAGAAGAAAAGGAAAGCCTGCAGGTCACCACAGGGTCCAGCCCTCCACCCTGTCACCTACACTTTGTGGCTGACACACATGGAGAGGTAGCAGGTGAGGCTGGAACCAGAAAGAGACAAACACTTCCATCCTAAGCCCCACCCAGGTCCTCTTCGGACTTCTTCCCCCAGATGCTAGGCACCACCACCCCACACTGCCATGCCCTCCCTCAGGTGGGGTCAGCCAGGCTCTGTGGAGGTGAGCAGGTGACAAGGGAGCTGACATCCTGCTTTACAATGGAAGTCGTCCATGCAGCTCCGTGGATGCACCAGGCTGCTTCCCAGCAGCTGCTCCCTCCACCTCCACCATCCTCGGCCTTTCCCTCTCCGCCCAGCACCTGCTCAGTCCCCAGAAGCCTCCTCACTCCTTTCTGCCCTTTTCCATCTGCAGTGACCTCCAATCCATCCCTTGCAGCCACCAGGCTGACTCATGGACCCCAGCCAAGGGGTGTGAAATGTGGCGCCGGTCCCTTGTGTCTGCCTGTGTCACTCAGAGCAGCACCCCCATACCTGCCATGCTGCTGCAAAGGGCGGGACCTCACTGGTCTTTGGGGGCAGCACCACTCTTCCACACACACAGTGTGCTGCTCATCCAGCCTCCTGCTGATGGTGCTTGGGGGTAACACAGCCATCAGCGTGGGTGTGAGGATCTGTCTGGATGAAAGATCTCTCCACGGGTGCACACCTGGGGCCACTACCACTCATGGTGCCAGGCAGGTCAGGATCACAGTCAGCAAGAATTTGTTAACTTCCAGAGGCAAACTCCGCATACCCTGGCTGCTGACCCCTCCGCTGGGTCTCATGCCTGCCAGGCAGCGGCCGAGGGCATCCTGCTGCTCAGCTCACAAAGCTGTGCTCACCTGGGTGTCCAGATGCTGCTCCCGCTGCCACACGCGGTCTCACCACACTGACTTTCCTGGGGTTCATTCTTTCTGGTCCACAGCTACCTGCACAGATGGGTTGAATGCAGCACAGCAGCCCCGCCAGAGGACTCAGGGCCTCCTACCCTCGCCCGGCCTCTTGCTGGCCTGAGAGAGGCTGCCGTGGGCCGAGGGCACTGCGCTTCTGACCCTGAAGCCAGGGCTGTGCTCAGAGTCAGAGCCAACCCTCCCTATCCAGACCACAGAGGCCAGCAGTCACAGCAGCTCCTGCCTGTTGCCTGTTCCTCAGCGTCAGTCAGGCCGGGTTATCCCTGTGCTCTCTCTAAAATTAGATTCTAAGCCCAGTGAGTCCTTAAACTGTCAACCGGATGAAACCAGGGACTTGGCTTCTCTTCACACACACACACACAGAGGTTCTTTCCCCAGGTCTAGCTGTCTCACACGGACCCCGGGGGTTTTCACCACTGTGGAACACACAGCCTAAGCACATCCCAAACTATACTTGAAAGGCCCCAGTCTGGTTCTGATCCACAAATCACTCAGTAGACTCCACCTCTGCTCTCTGCTTCACTGTGGGGCTTCTTGGCAGATTTTGGGCCATGAGAGATGTTTGCAAGTGGGCCATACACCGTGCTTCAATTCTGCTCTGCTTTACCGTGCTGCCACCAAGCTAGGTGGTGCCTCACCTTCTCAGCAAAATGGGGACTTCACACAGCAGTTTTATTTTTAAGCTTTGGTTGAAGTCAACTTGGGTGACATTAGAAGACACAGTAACAGACCCAAATGAGAAAGTCACCCACACAATGTTACCCAGAAAGCAAACCCATCGGACTAGATCCTGCGTCCCCTACCACTCACATGCCCTGGCCCAGCCAGACCTGCAGTCTGTCACTCTGCAGCTCAGAAAGCACATTTGCTTTGCCCTTTCTGTCTCACAAAACTGCCTGTGTCTGCTTGTCAAACATACCAATCCAAAACCATACAAAACATGCTCCTCTTTCCCTAGCAATCTGCATGGAAAAGCTTAAACCCACAATCACTGAAACCTGCTGGTGGACGCTGTCAGCCAGCACTCAGCACTCAGCAGGACCACACACATCCAGCCATCCTCGGTAGTAAGAGATATGTGGTCCCCGTTCACCTGCTCACATTTGCACCCCAGGCTTATCCAGGCCAAGACGCCAGCTGCCGGGCAAGTAGAGAGACTTGGAGGGGGCACAGCAAGGCCTTGGATACGAACACCATGGGCCTATGGCACGAGTATTGTTTTTCTTTCAAAACAAGAGATGTTAATACCTGGGTTGTTTTTTTCTCAACTAAACCTTGTGTTCACAGCTGGTGCTGTGGATAAGGAAGTGGGTGTGGTGTACGGTTTGGACACTCGCCTCTGAAGGGCTGCACATAGCGAGCGCCGCTGTGCAGGGGCGGCCTCGGGGCCGACTGCTAGAGCTGACTGAATTGTCTGAGAATAATCACACACCCTGGGCAGGTGCAGCGAGGCAGGAAAGCGAGGTTCTGTGTCAGTTATAAATGACTCCATTTCCTAGCCTGATCTGTCTGGCTTAGGAAACACAAGACACAGAAAAGGACTCATGCACGAATATCTCCATGCAGCAGGGTTGGTAAGATAGGGCTGTCTCTGCTGCAAAACATGCCTGTGCTCCGAGGGACACAGGTCTGGGACCCATGATGGCAGTGAATTAAAGCCTCAGGGATTCTCCAACAAACCTCCCCTCTTCCTAGAGGATGACATTCTTGTTGGTAACAACGATATCTTCTCGTGTCTCTGTGCTTTGACCAATACACAAGTGCAGCAAAAGAGTGGGTGCCTAAACTATGATAGGCTCCCCAGACTCGCTGCATGGGCTGCTGGGCCTCAATCTGCTCCTCTCCTCCCCTCTTCTCCCCTGCCCTTCCCTCCTCTCCCCTCTTCTCTCCTCTCCTCTTGTCTCCTAGGCCTGGACCATCGATGGTGCTGCATGAGGGGCCATCACAGTTTGTGTCTGTATCTGCAGCCAGACATATGTAACTTGTGCACATGAGTGTAACAGATATTCATCTAACATGGGGATCTACACCACACCTCTGTCCTTGAGTCACCAGCAGGGCAGAAAGGCCACCCCCACCGAGGAGATGGGCACAGTATCCGCTGGGACCTGGCCAGGATGCTTGAGGCAAAAGTGGGGGATGGGCCAATCTCTACTTGGACCAAAAACCACGCCCTCCAAAAAGTCAGTTTGCAAATAATATAAAAGTACAAGCCAGCAATGAGTAAGAGCAGAGCGGAGGCACTGCCTGCTCTAAATACAGCCCCTCATCAGCGCTTGTGTTTAAGAAATGATCCTAGCACAACCGGAGGCTCGGAAACTGTGAGTTTCTCAAGATGGTCTGAAATAAGAGTCTGCCTTCTGGCCTTCCCTGCTGCTGGGAACGGACCTGGCCTCAAACACGCTGTGTGTCCCTACTGCTGCCTCGGGACGTTAGGAGGCAACGGGACGATGCCAGCACAGTTCTCACTGAAGGGTTCATCCCCTGAGCCCTGACCCCGAGTGTCCGCAGTGCTGCAGCCATGCACACGGTCTTCTCCGGCTGTGTCATAGCCCTGAAATGCAGTGCAGGCAGCATTTGTTCCATTGAAGCTATAAAAACAGCCAAGCAGCGAGGGACCTGCATGGCCTGAAGGGCGGCAGCACAGCAGAGAAAGCTTCTGAAGGCCCCATAGTGCTCTGCTGGGTCCTGGAGTGAGGTACTCGAGGTGGGGCTCCTTAGACAACTGGGTGGGAGAGCGAGAATCCCAGCCTCTTGGCAGCCTGCGGCATCGGCAGGCAATGCCTCGGGAACTGCCTTGCAGAACACTCGCTGACACACACCACACACACATCCGTTCTCAACCGTAAATGCGCTCTTTAGTTTAGGAATGTAAGTATTCATGAAAAATGCAAGTAAAGGATTTGGGGGACCATACTTTATCTAGAATCTCTGAAGGATGGAAACAGGTGACTGGGCAGATAACCTCAATTATTTATAATTCTTCTGTTCATTTGTTCCAAGCTCACGTTATGCTCTCCCACTGTGCACTCAGGCAGTGCAACAAAGGTCACGGCCAGAATAACTGAAATGTTAAAATATAGCGGAGCCATTAAAATACCTGATAATGACATTAGGGGAAAGTGTAAAATTTTCTAGACAAGCAATTTTGCTCATGGAAAAGCACTGTGAAAAGCTTCAGAAGTTACATGAGTTATACATTATCCCAACTGGTTCTTGGTATTTTTTTAAAATGCTCCCAAGCAGATTTTTAAAAATATATATGCATCTAATTTTTCCTTTCAAGATAAAGGTGATATTTTAACCGTGAATGAGAAAATTGGCTCCTTTAACAAACATAAGAAAGAAAATTTTGGAAATTTTTTGGTATTTGGACATTTTTCTAGCATCATATTATTTGGATTCCAAAAATAACCTAAGAAGGCTACCTGTTTAAAATTTTGTCATACATTCTATTTTCAAACTTTGGAAAGAAATTTTGCAGTAGCCTGATTACAAAGGCTTTCTGGGTGTCAATGGGCTCTGGGCCAATTTGTGAAGGAATGAAAAAAGGCAGAACTTTCTGATTATTTTAAGAGCAAGCAACTGATGGTAAAAAGAAAAGATGGTAGTTTAGTAGGTACTGGGGGAAACGGGAAATCGGTGCTTGAGTTGAAAGACAGAGCTAGACGAGCGGGCTGTCTCATGTATGAGAGCAGGATGCCAGGGGACTGGAAACGGCTAATCCGTGGGGACAGGCGGGGGACCCCCTTCCTTCTGCCCCTACAGCAGGACCTCCCACCACGCATTTCCTCCTCCTTCCTTCCGTGTTTACCAGACGCTGCTGGCCTTTGAACAACGGCCTCTGAGCTTTACCTTCACTGCACAAGAGACGACTCCCCTGTGCCCGTCTCGTTCCTGCAGGACCCCAGGAGCAGCACAGATGCGCAGCAGCGCTGTGTACTGTCGAGTTAGATTCACACTGGTGGGAGCAGACCGACCTTCCTGGGCGACAGGTTCTACAGCACTTACAGCACTTTACACGCAGGGCTGCACTCACACACCCACTACCCACGGGAGCCACCACGGGAGACTGCAAGGGGTCCTGTTTCTGTGCGCTAGAACAGAGGCAGCAAGAAGAGCTCAGGAAGCGGGCGCCTCCCCACCACACGACCTTCTGAAGTGCTCTCCCTGCCCTGGCAGAATGCAGACTGCATGTGAAGATGTGAGTGGTGCTCATCATTCTACAAACACACTTGCTGGACTGTCCCTCTGCAGTCACAGTGGGCAGCTCTCCTTCCCGGCCCACTTAGGTTATGAGACATGAGACTCTCGGCTGACCACCTAGGTAGAAATGCTTTAAAACACACACACCGTTAGCAACAAGAGACCCTCTAAATACAAAGGCCACAGTGAAATTTGAAGCGAGCACTATACATACTCACTGTATTATCTATAGGAACAAAGTAGAATAGTGTGTGTTTTATGCATTTTATGAAAATGAACAGCATGTGACAGAACAGTAAGTGTGTTCCAGTCATCAATGCTCATATCATAACTCTTTCTCCTCTGTTAATTGAATGGGTTAAAGAAAATCATGCCTAATATTTCCTCCAATAAACATCTAAGAACAAAATTGAAAGCATAGCTCACATGTCTTTAGAGATTCGCTAAATAAATTTTAAAATGAATATATAATTTTCTGACACCACAACTGCTGTCAATGAATTAAAACAGTGCCTGTCGCCCTGTACACAGAAGAGAAAGCACCACTAGCAGCTGGTGTGCTGCTAAGCTGTCCTGGTGCTGGACCGGCTACCCATCTCCTGCAGTTTAGAGGAGGGCAGGTTGGCTTGGGCTCACAGTTTCAGAGTATCCAGTCCATGGTCAGCTGGCTCTTGAACAGAAACCGCATGGCAGAAGGGTGTGCCAAGAAGCTGCTCCCCTGGTGGTGGCCAGGAAGCAAAGCACAGGGGGAAACCAGTGGAAAGAGGCCAGGAAGGAGCTCTGGTTTCCCAGCTTGCACCACCGTGAGTCGCTCCCCCACTGGCTGTACCATGTGACAGCTATGCATGCAGCAGCCTTAACCGATGAGACTGGTACCCCGCAAAACTCATCGCCTCCTCAGGGGTCTGAACCCAGGCAGGTCAGCATTTCAGATTAATGGACATGGCTGGTATATGTATTCCCCAGACCGTTTGAAAACCTAACTACCTCACACAGCTTCACAGATTTCTAAACAGCAAGCAGAAATTTAAGCACAAAAGAAAGATTTCATGGCAACAAAGACAAAACCATCTTGCACTGTCCTAAGGGCTGAATTCACAAAGATGATCTGAGGGTAGCCGGCTGGACAAGAAGGCAGAGGCTTCCTCAGCTGTTACTTCTCAGCAGAATTCCCCCCCCCCCACCCAGAGGCTGAAGAGAGAGCGCAGCAGTAAGAGGAAACAGAAGCCAGGCTCCAGCCCCAGGAGTCTTCCCACCCCAGGACCCCACCTGGGGCCCTCTGGGTCCCAGATCCCTGAGAACTCATCCCCACTCATCCCAGGCTGTTTGGGGAGGAGCACCCCACCTCCTGGTCACACAGGCACCGAGGGCCCTGGGTCCCCTGTGACCCCACAGATTTCACCTCACTCGAGAAGAGGGTCTGGGAGGCATCTGGGAACCAGGAGGTAGCACAAAAGCCCCAAACCCCACCATTATTTTCATTTTTAGAAACACATTCAAAAATAAGTATATCTGTCCAATGAAACCTACCCAAGCAGCAAAATAAAATCTCAATAAATACTAAGGTTCTTGTTCTGGAACACCAGTGTCCCTGTACTCCGCCCCCACACTCCTGGCACAGAGTTGTGGGTAAACTTCTGGTGATACAGAAAGAACAAGTCATGTTTGTCTCTGTGTACGTTCGTGTGTTAGAATCTTTTTTCACGCGGAGTATTAAATACGGACCACTCTTCAGCCAGCACAAAACGCAAGCATCCCCACGGTGACAGATGTTTTCTTGCTGGCCTCCTAGGTCCCCTATGCAAACAAGATATTTTCCACATCTTGGGATACGTAATTCATATCAGTAGCTCTGCCTGCATGACCGACTCACTGCATGTTTCATTTTATTCTTCAGGACCTAGGTTCCTTCACCTATCTTCTCTGCCTCTGGAATTCAGTGCTCGTGTTGTTCGCAGTCTCCTGTTAGCATCAGCAGAGTCTGGGCTCCCCGCTGACACTGCGCATGTGCAGGACCAAACACGCAGGACAGCAGGGTTGCAAGGTTTGAAC